AATATTCCACTGTATAAACTACTCGTGCATTTATCCAGTCTACTATTGATGAACATGTGGGGTTGTTTCCAACTTGGAGCCAATATGGAATAGTACTGTTCTGTCCACCCTTTTACACATCTTTCAGTGCACAGATAGATATATGCCCTTACGGCTGTGTTTATCTGAGGATGGAGGAGCTGGGTCATAGGAGATGTGTATATCCAGCTTTAGTAAATGATACACCAATTTCCAGAACAGTTGCTCTAATTTTTATGCCCATCAGCAGTGTATGAGAGTTCCAGTTTGCCCATTACCCAACAGGTATCTCCCACCTTTTGAAAGTTCAGGTTATGTCACTTCGCTTTTACGAAAGACCTACATTAGTACTTGTTTTTGTTAAACAAAAGAAACCGCAAGATTTTCACTTTTACCAAAAAAAAAAAAAGGCAAAAAAAAAAAAAGAAAGAAAAAGAAAACAGCAATCAGTGTTTGTTTTACAGCCAACGAACACCCCAAGCAGCAAGAGCAGCCTTCCCAAGCTCCTTCCCGGGGAACTACACTGAGCATCTCAGCATCACACCACAAGAGCTTTGAATTGTATCTGTGAGCATCTGTGTTTGCTCTTGATTTATTTTGTGCATTCTCTAGGAATATGTGTCCTAAGGTAGGAGGAAAGCCTAGAGGCACCTGGATGGCTCAGTTGGCTGAGCATCCAACTTCCACTCAGGTCATAATCTCACAGTCCATGAGTTTGAGCCCCATGTCGGTCTATGCTGACAGCTCAGAGCCTGGAAACTGCTTCCAATTCTGTGTCTCCCTCTCTCTCTCTCTCTCTGCCCCTCCCCTCCCCCAAAATAAACATTAAAAAAAAATTTAAGAAAATGCCTAAAAAGGGGTTATTTCGGGGGGTCTGGGAATGCTCAAGAATTTTTCCATATAAATTAATGGTTTCACAGGAACAGTCTGCTTTCAGATAGATACAGGGGGAAGCCTGTACTTAGCACTGATAGTCTGCCTTTTTTTTTTTTTTTTTTTTAAGAGAGCGAGCGAGCGAGCATGAGAGGGAGCGCGCGCTCAAGCAGGGGAGGGGTAGAAACAGAGAGGGAGACACAGAATCTGGAGCATGCTCCAGGCTGAGCTGACATCACCAAGCCCAATACAGGGCTGGAAGTCAGGAAGAGCAAGATCACAACCCGAGCCGACATCAGACACTTAACCAACTGAACCACCCAGGCGCCCCCGACAGTCTGCTTTTAACCACTCTGGTGAGTATATAGTGATAGCTCATTCTAATTTTAATTTGCAACTCCCTAGTTACTAATGAAGTTAACCCTCTTTTCATGTGTTTAAGAATCCAGAGATCCTCGTTCGGGAAATGACTTGCCCATTTTTTCTATTGGGTTGTCCATTTTTCCCCCCTCAGTGATTTGTAAAAGTGGTTTCTAAATTCTGAATAGAAGTTCTTTATTGGATAGATGTACTACAAATATTTTCACCCATTCCCTATCTTGCCTCCTCACTCTCCTTATGGATTCTTTAAATGAACAGACGTTCTTACCAATATTTTCCATTATAATTAGATGCTTTTTGTATACTATTCCATAAACCTTTGACTGTCCCTGAGTAAGATATTTTACTTTGGTTTCTTCTACAAGTTTTATTATTTCAGCTTTCACATTTAGGTGTAGCATACCACTTGATTAATGTTTGCATATGGGATGAGATGATTAAGATTCATTTTGTCCATATGATGACCCAATTAGGCCAGCATCAGTTACTGATGAGGCCATCATTTCTTCACTGCACGTATTGTCGCTTATGGCACAAACCACACACATGAACCTGATTATGAATTCTCAGTTCCATGGTCTGCCTAGCACTGTGCCAATACCATATTAACATAATACATAAGGATCTAGTTGTCCAAATTTGCTTTTTCTTACGTGGTCTAGAATTTTCAAATAAATTTTAGAATGGGCTTATCAACTTCTTTTTTTTTATTTATTTATTTCTAGGAGAGAGAGAGACAGACAGCGTGAGCAGGGGAGGGTCAGAGAGAGAGGGAGTCACAGACTGAAACAGGCTCCAGGCTCTGAGCTGGCAGTCAGCACAGAGCCAGACGCAGGGCACGAACCCACGAACCGCGAGATCATGACCCAAGCGAAAGTCAGACGCTTAACCGACTAAGCCACCCAGGTTCCCCCACAATAACATCTTAAAATCATTTAACTGTCTGTGGGATACATAGTAATAACACCTTTTTCTTCTATGGCACTTCTATTAGGGTTCATACCCACGGTCAAAAAAACAAAACACGAAAAAACACAAAAACAACTCTCTTGCACTATGTGACACACATACAGTCACAAGAATGTTCTCCAGCAGTATTATCCGTAGAAGAGGAAGACCAAATAGAGTATATAAACAAGCCAGAAATTCCCTCTCTATAGCTTTTATCACCAGAAATAACTGGAACCTGAGTAAAAAAAAAAAAAAGACACTAACTGAAAGTTAATAGGGATTTGTGATGCTCTAGGATGACCGGTGAGCACTCAGTAGAAAAACAAGCACTAAGTAGGTTTTATAACCTAGGATACCCACCCCCAAGGTAGCCACGGGGAGAATTCAGGGGGCCATGAACCTGTAAATTCTCTCATACATCTTTATTTTCATGAACCTCTAACTGAAATGCAGGACTTCATTTACTCTACAAGTGGACGACAATCCATACTCGTAAGAGCAGCTTGGGCAAATTCGTCTCCAGGAAAAGTCAGATACTCTTATAACACAGTGCAGCTGCTGCAAATACCTCAAAATATCATTTACTGGGGCACCTAGGGGTCTCAGTGGGTTGAACGTCCAGCTTCGGCTCAGGTTATGATCTGGCAGTTTGGGTTCAAGCCTAGCGTCGGGCTCTGTGCTGACATCTCTGAGCCTGGAGCCTGCTTTAGGTTTTGTGTCTCCCTCTCTCTCTGCTCTGTCCCCCAACTCTCTCACCTTGGCCAGGCCCTGATAAACATTAAAAAAAAAAATTTTTTAGGACTGCCTGGGTGGCTCAGCATCCTACTTCAGCTAGGGTCATGATCTCACAGTTCATGAGTTTGAGCCCCATGACGGGCTCTGTGCAGACAGCTCAGAGCCCGGAGCCTGCTTCAGATTCTGTGTCTCCCTCTCTCTCTGCCTCTCCCCTGCTCACACCCACACTCTCTTGCTTGATCTCTCGCTCTCTCAAAAATAAAGATTTAAAAAAATTTTAATATCATTTACATGGGCATCACTACTTCGAAATTATGAGTTATTTGATACAGCACTGAACTTTGTCACTTAATACATTAACACAAAATACTCTTACCACTCTCATGGGTTTGTTACACTGTGTTTCAAGAGAATTTGTAACTATTAATTTTTCATTACCTCTTAAAAATTGGCTTCCTCAGGGGTACCTGGGGGACTCAGGGGTTAAGCATCTGACTCTTGATTTCAGCTGAGGTCATGATCTCACGATTCATGAGCTTGAGCCCTGCATCAGGCTCTGCACTGACAGCACAGAGGCTGCCTGGGATTCTGTCTCCCTCTCTCTCAAAAATAAACTTTTTTTTAACTGGCTTCCCCAAACTCTAAAGAGATCCATGGCAAGCCCTACCCCCGCAAAAAGGGGGAAAAAAAAAACCTACAAGTAATCAAGGATTTCACCCTAAATTAGAAACTGTAGTGCAACAATAAAGGAGCACCTCAAGTGGGCCAGGCCCTGAGCTGCAAGCAGGAAACACACTGATAATCTGTATCACCTAGGCTAGCTAGTTCCTGATGTTACCAAAGTTCCCACAAACATCTAACTCCCACAATACTGACCACTCTCTCCAGAGACCTGGCCTTCACCTTAAGTTAGTCTATCTAACCTGCTTTCCAAGGAGGTAGCAAATAGTAGATACAGCACAGGCTTTGATCTAGAAAAGGGAGTGTAAAACTAAGCCCTGAAATTTACCAGTTTGGGCCACTGGCAACTCCTCGGAGTCTTTCTTCTGCTGTGAAAAGGGAGAACACCATCTACCCTCCCCAGTGGTTTTAAGGTTTAGAAATAATGGGTTTAAAGAGCCTGACAAGCACATCGTCCTGGTTAATATTAGTTGAATCGTTCAGGTCAGAACTGACTGTCCCTATCTTCTATTAATCACTAGGACTGCCACAGAGAAAAAAGTGAGAATTACAGGAAATATGGAGCATGAAGAACGGAAGGAAAAAAATTGTACTTATAAAAAAAAAAAAAACACCTCCTCAGTGAAGCCTTCCTTGTGTTCCCATCGCATTTAATCAAGAAAGTACTTGGTAGCACTTAAGTGCCTAGCTCTGCGAATGAATGAATGAGGACTACAACACAAAGACACAGAAACACGGAGTCTCCTTCCCATAAAACTCAAACCACCGAGGACGCCAACTTCTAGTTGGCTCCGATCCAAGAGCCAAGAACCAAGGAAGCAGCACATTTCTTAACACGAAAGACACCCCAGTACCTGGCCCGCCCACTTTGGTAGGAATTGCGGGGAGGAGGGTCTTTCCACGTAAAGATCGGTGCTCCCTGGACGCTAGGCTTCGAAGAGGGAAACTGAGTCTGGAGAGTAGAAAGCAAAATAAATCTCTAACTTTGGGGGGGGGGGGCGGTCACTGCAGCCGCAGTAGTGCAGGCGCACTTTTCATACCGCCGAGGGGACCAGCGGCAACCGGGGTCCAAGCCCGGGGGGAGGCCGCCGGGGGGAGGGGGCGTGCGCAGACCTGGCCGGGCCTGCGGGAGCCCCGCCGCCGCGCCCAAAGCCCGGCCGCGCCTGGGGCGCAGGGCCCGCCGCCTTTGTCTCCACTGAGGGACAGGGCACCTCCTCTGCCCCGCCCCCGGGCGCGGACGCTGGAACCGGAGTAGGAAACGGAAAGCGCCTGGAGCATTTTTGTGTCTCAAGGGAGTCCACCGAAGCACGAAAGTCAACACCTAACGTCCCCGGGACCCGCTGCGGTCCCCGGCTACCAACCTCCGGGCTGTCCCGGGCAGCGGCGGCGGCGTTCGCGCGCGCCACGATCCCCAACAACGCTCTCGGCACTTCCGAGGCCCGGCGGCGGCGGCAGCGGCGGCGGCAGCGGCGGCGGCGGCCGGCTTCCCGGGAAGCCGCCCTCTTCCCAGGGAGCGGCGGTTGGAGGACTGGCCCCGCGCGCGTACTCGGAGCGCGCGCCCCCGCCGCCGCGCCCGCGCGCCCCCGGCTCCGACACGCGCGGCGCTCCGGGAGCTGGGACGGTGGGCCTCTCAGGTCTCTGGGTGTGCGGGGCTCGGACCGGCTGGGACCCCAGGCCTCCCGGGCTCGCCCGCGCGAGGGGGCCGGCGTTCCTGCGCTGGGCGGCGCGCTGGCCTCTCCCCTACCCGTTTGCTAGTTGCAGGCTGGCACTTTCGGAGCGGAAGTCACCTGAAACTCCAGCCCAGTGGTCCCCACGGACGTTCAGTTAGGCGAGAGGAGGTGGCTTGGTGGAGGGGGAAGAGAGGGGCCTTTGCGGCCGGGCTGCCTGACCCGCTTGCCGGGTGAACTTCGCCCTTGGGAGCCTCCCAGCCCTCCTCCGTCTAGCAGAAAGAAGCTCTCCTGCTTTTCTAGAGAACCAGTGAAGACTGAAGAGAATGAACGTTATTACCTGCAAAGCAATTTACTAAGATAATAACCACTGCAAAAATGTATACCAGTGGTGTAGAATGGGTTCTAAAAAGCGGTAGTGACTTCTGAGCTCTGTTACCCGGAGGCTGCCAAGCCTGCCAAAGTTGCACAGACTTACCTGAGCAAGAGAATCACCTGGGCTCTTGTTAAAATCAGAGGCTTCTGGATCCCTCTTTAAAGGAATCAGACTCCCAGGGGAGGGGTGTCTCAGGTGTCTCTAGGATCAGGTAAATGTGGATACCTCTGCCATAGGCAGCAGGGAAACACAGAGGTTCTACATTTAATCTAGCAGTCATTCAAATAGTCCAGGAGATTATCTTTCTGATTGCAAAATTCTCTGAGAAACTAGAGCATAAACTCTCTGATAATAGGAACTATACACCCTTTCAGCTCCCACCATCCCTGTTCCCAACACCTAGTATGGGAATGGTGTTAGGTAAGCAGGTGTTAATAATCTAGCCTCAAGTAGAAGTGCCAGGTGTATCAAATAAAAATACAGGCTGCTCAATTAAAATTGAATTTCAGATGAACAACCAATACTTTTGTAGAATCAGTATGGCCCATGCAACATTTGGGATATACTCACACTAAAAAGAAAGTATTCATTGTTCATCTGAAATTCAATTTGATTGGGCAACCTGTATTTTATCTGGGAAACCTCACCCTCGCAGAGAGTGATAGAGTAACAACTCAGCTCAGGTAATGGCAGACTCAGGGACAGGAATGAGATTCCTACCTTATTTCTAAATGACATTAGCAGACAAAAATGTAGGTTTTCTGTCACTTACATGTAACCTCTTTCTCCACAACATATTCACCTGAAAAAAACAAAAATTAAGGCAGATATAATCATAACTAAATTAGAAACAAATCAAATAAAAATAGTCAAAAAGTAAAGGGAAGCAATAGACTAGCTAAAGTATTTGCAGGCACTATGATACAGAATGTTATTTATTATTATATATGGATTAAATAAGAACTCATTAGAAGCCCATTGTAGATGAGCAAGACACATAAATAAGGAATCCAGTAAAAAAAAAAAATAGTTGGGATATACAATTAGGAAGCAAATATATTGCAAGAAGCTTAAAGAAATGCAAAGTAAAATGAGAAACATGATTTTCACATATAAAGTTGGCAAAAATTAACAAATGACATTAAAGACTGGCAAGGGTGGTGTGTGATAAGTAGGTAAGGAATTTGGCAGTACCAAACCCCTTCAAATGTATCAAAACTCCTAATGTTTAAACTTTTTGAATTATGTTTGTGGGAATAAATCCAAAGGAAATTATACATAATGTAGAAAATGCTCTTTATGAACAAAGATTTCAGTTTTAACTTCAATCACTTTAATTTATTTAATAACAGGGGAAATATACAATGATGTATTCAAATTTTCTAAAAAATAAAGATGTAGAAATTAAAATGTACCACTCTTTAATCTACTAGATACACAGCCTTTTAAAATAATGGTTACTAGGTGCATCTGGGTAGCTCAGTTGGTTAAGCGACTGATTTCAGCCCAGGTCACCATCTCTCAGTCCATGAGTTCTGCCCTGTGTCAGTCTCTGTACTGACAGCTCAGAGACTACAGCCTGTTTCAGATTCTGTGTCTCCTTCTCTCTCTGCCCCTCTCCCTCTTGCACTCTGTGTCTCTCTCTCAAAAGTAAATTTAAAAAAAAAATTAAAAATTAATTAATGGTTACTATTCATCTGTATGTAGTATGACCAAAGTATATATCTTTTAAATCTGTATGTGGAAAAAATGATTGAAAATGACTGGAAAGGAAATAAGGTTAAATTTGGGTGGTGGGACTTGCTTTATTTTTCATTTTTCCACATTTTTACTAAGCACAAATTAATTTTATAATAGAAAATGAATGTGTTCCCCCTGAAAAAACAAAAAACTATTCTTACCACAAAGTTAGTTTTATGGACTCTAGAATCTCACTTTTGCATAATCATATACTGAATGCTGAGACTGTCTAAATATTAAAAGCTCCTTAAAACATGTCCCCTAAATATAAACACCTTAACAAACTCTGCATGTTATCTGTAACCTAGGGGACTATCCTTAGCAAATTCTTAGCCCTGTGCTGAATTTCTCAACTTAGTCAATCACATAAGTGTATGCTAATTACAGTGCTTTAAATATTTCATAAAATTCAGCAAATCATATGAGGCCTTGGGTTTTTCTCCCCATTCTGCAAAGGGACAAGCTTAATAGCAGATACCTTTTTTTTTTGCTAGTAAAATACACACAGTAACATTTACCACCTTAAACATTTATAAGTGTTAAGTTCATATATAATGTCATGCAACTCCAGCCTCTTGCAATGCTGAAACTCTGTACCCATTAAACAGTAACTCTCCACTACCCTCAGCTCCTGGCAACCACCATTCTCCTTTTGGTCTCAATGAATTTGACTTCTCTAGGTACTTCATATACATGAATCATACAGCATTTGTCCTTTTGTGAGTGGCTTATTTCACTTCTTACAATGCCCTTAAGACTTAGCCTTGCAGCATGTGTCAGAATTTCCTTCCCTTCTGGGCTGAATAATGTCCCACTGTATGTATATACATTTTTATCCACTCATCTGCAGATGGACACTTAGGTCCTTTCTACCTTATGGCTGTTTTGAATCATGCTTCTCTGAACACGGGGACACAAATCTCTCTTCTTTGAGACTCTGCTTCCAATTCTTTTGGATATATACCCAGAAGTAGAATGTTGGATCACATAGTAATTCTTTTGTTAATTTTTTGCAGCATCACCATGCTATTTTCTATAGGAGGGGCATCATTTTATATTCCTACCAATAGTGCACAAGGATTGCAACTTCTCCACCTCCTCACCAAAGCTGTTGTTTGTGGTTCTGTTTTTTGACAGCAGTCATCCTAATAGGTGTGAGGTGATATCTCATTGATTTGCATTTCTTTAATAATTAGTGATGTTGACCATCTTTTCATGGGCTTATTGAACATTTACATGTCTTCTTTGGAGAAATTTCTAAGTCTTTTGCTTATTTTTTAATCAAATTATTTGTCTTTTTGTTGTTGAGCTGCAGTTCTTTCTATTATTTGAGATATTAACCCCTTATCAGATACACGATTTACAAATATTTTCTCATAGGTTGCCCTTCCACTCTGTTGATTGAGTCCTTGGATGCACAGATTTTAATTTTGACGAAGTCCAATTTATGTATTTTTTCCCTTTGTTTGCCTGGGCTTTTGGTGTGATATCCAAGAAACCACTGCCAAAATCTACTGTCATGAAGCTTTTTCTCCTACGTTTTCTTCTACGTTTTATAGTTTTAGTTCTTAAGTTTAGGTGATGGGTCCATTTTGAGTTAATTGTTGTGTATGGCGTAAGGTAAAGGTCCAAATTTATTCTTTTGCATGTGAATTTCAACACCATTTGTTGAAAAGCACAGACATCTTTTAAAGGCCAGCGTTTAGGGTGAGGGGTATTTTCTGGGTCATAACACCAGGGGAAAAGGTGGGGTTATATAGAAGAGGGGAGGGAAGGGGGGAGGATTTTTTCCCCTCTCTTCAGTACTTCACACATATGCAGAAATGTCTGGCTTTCAAAGATCTGCTCCTGCCTTAAGCAAAAGTATCAGGTTCTGGGACTCCCTGACTTGGAGCTGGAGCAGCCAATCCCAAGGCCAGAAAGCCAGAGCTGCCTTCCCTTGGGAGGCTTTTGTGAAGCCACAGAGCATCCTCCCTGAAGTTGAGAAGCAAACTGAGGCTAAAGTAAATTGACCAAAATGCATGATAACTGAAGTTTAAAAAGGGAAACTAATCTTGGGCCTTGGTACTGTATTTCTTTAAGAACAAATAAATCAAAATTAGCATGTAAATGTGGGTAATGAATGGTCAGTCACTTTTTACGCCATTATTTTAATCCCAAATTGTCAATCAGGCCTGCACCGGGCGTGTTTCCTCTCTGATCCTATCCAGACAGGCAGCCCTGAGCACCTGGTAGCCACTCTCCACACTGCAGGGCTGGTACTTAGGAAAGATTAGCCAGGCCAACTCTTCTTTGTGATTTCAACGATGACTTAGCCATAGAAATAATATCCATTCAACAGAGGCACAAATAGTTGTTAAGATTTAGTTGATAAAGGCTGAAAGATAAAGGACAGAATTTCTAATTATGAAGTTTCAGGCTCAGGCATTCATGTGGAGCTATTCAGGAGCATTAAGGGCTTTCCCAACCCTCACCGCGGGGCACAGCCTCTCATCGGTCCCACTTACAAGGATGTTGGCGCTGGCTTATGGTGAGCCTCAGTAGTCAACATTAAACAAGCATTTCTTTGTCCAGCCTCTACTTTACACACAGCACAAAACTAAATGCTAGGGGAGTTTTGTTGTTGTTATTGTTGGTTTTTATTGGGGAAAAAAATGACTCGCCTTGCAGGAAGTTGCAGCCTAGCAGGGA